ATCGTTGCATCACTTTATCAATGCGTTAGTCATTCACACGTCAAACGTAAATGACGTGAAACGGGGGCACAAGTGATGGCACGCTTTGGCAGTGCATTACAGGCCATGAATTGCAGCACATTATTGACGGCCATAACTGTAAATGTAAGCCAAATGCCAGCCAATGAGCGAACGACACATAAGTTTAGGAAACAATATAAATAGTGAATACTTTTGACTCAAATTGTGTTTATTATTGAAATAATGTATTGAAAATCAAACCACAAATTGATCCAAACGTTTGCGTCGATTGTCCCCAAAAAATGTCACAAAAACGGCTATTAATCGCTAAAGTGTTACCCATTTTGGCCAATAATAACAGTTATAACAGTAATTGCAATAATAATATGAATAACAATAAGTTCATCGAAATTAAGATCAAAAATCTAAACGATTTGAAAGCAATGAGCGGTAAATGCGATGACATGTGTCTCACGGCTGGAGACAAACCCAAACGCAAGAGAGAAAGACTCGACCACTTGTCCAACGATGAGAAGATTAAACGCAGGTATGATCTCAAGACATACTCACCAGTGATTGCGTTATCACATCATTGATTGCTTTAACATTGAATGTTGTATTGTATTGAACAGGAAATTGCATAACAGAGCGGCCGCTCAGTTGGCCAGAGATCGCAAGAAAGTCAAAATGAGTGAATTGCAAGACACCGTTCACATGATCAACAAACAGGTACCACTCTTTACCATATTGTGCCACACAGTGGGCACACCATATATAGGTCATAAGCCCCCCTCCCGTCCCCCGTCATCCCCTTTTTGATTACTAATTAAGGGTATAATTGGATTATAATTGAAATTATTTTCACAAATAGAAACGACTTCTGGAGTGCAGTAATGAGGCATTGATTACAAGATGTAAAGCACTGGAGAGAGAGAACTGTGAGCTGAAGAGAAGGCTGTCGGAAGTGCCGACACAGGCGGTGGTGTCCGTCGAGGGAAGCGATCGTATCGTTGAGTCCGCAGAACTCATTAATGTTTCTCAGCCGCAGAGACACGAAACGATTGCCACCGAAACGACGCCCAAACCTGTGTCACACTCGACGACGCCATTCATCTATTGGTTAGCGGTTCTGAATCTGATTCAGTGCTTGAATTCCTCCAACAATGCTCTCAAGAACTGCTCGACACAGAGATTGTCGCCGCAGACGACGCCGACGACTGTCCGCCAGTCAGCGGATCAGCTGTCGAGTGCCGACGGCTCACTACCGACTCGGCCAACGCTGACTCTATTGAACACTTGAACGATGCAAACACTTTACCATTCAGTCCTAATTCATGTCATTCCGGAGATTCTGGTTATGAGTCCCCGGAATCACCACTTATTTTGACCGACGATTCCTTTGAAGACATTGTGGACAACAATATTGATATGCAATGGCAGCAGAC